AACTTTTCCATGTGCATTGTTGGCATATATGGCAGTGGGTGGGTGTGGGTTGAAAGAGAAGAAAATGCCAATTGATTGCCACTTAAAATATGATTAATAATCATTCTCAATGAGTCACAGACATTGAGTGAACTACATACATAATGCGACATGCTTGACGAGCAACATTGAAGAATCATTTTCTAAGACAGCTTTTCATACCTTTTACTCATCCCCAAACCATCATGTTAAGCTCTGAATTATTTGTTAGTAAAATCTGACGGTCAAACGGGCCGAAATCTTACAAAGTTCCTCTCCCCCCTCCTTCCACTGTTGGTCAAAATGTATATATTGAAAATTTACACTAGGGGGAATAAAAAGATGTAAAAGCATCGGTTTGGATAAAAGCTTTCACAAATCAATTATTCACATCGGTACAAATTGTGATTTAGAGCCTATTCGCCAGGAAAAAGGTATATGTTTTCAACAAACAAACATTTCATCTAAACATCATATGCCTTATATACATTATATTTATGTACACAACAGGTCGCTTTTCCGGATGATGTTTCACTGTTAAGAGATATTTTATTGCTGCCGCCACTGGTGAAGTGGCAGAAAAATGAGGAAATGTGTGTCTTGTCGGCCTGTTTTAAAAATCATCAGCGTCTCTCTCTCAAAGAGTGTGTGTGGGGAAAGCGAGGGGGCTCTTCATTCTGGATGAGACAGCTAAGGATGGAATTTACGCACAGCAAGTGGCAAAAGCAAGAAACATAGTGTGTGGGTGGGACAGAAAAATTTAACGATCTGCAAAAGACGACATTCCATTGTTTGCCAAATAGATACTGAATGCATTATTTGTGTCTGTTCGCAACAGATAATAACAATAATATGTAATAAAAATGAATCAATTTGACATTCTTTTCGTGATGTGCCCGTAAAATAACTCTGACAGTGAGCGGTGGCGCGCACGCGGGGGTGGGAGGAAATTGTGGAGGATGAAAATGTCGAAAGAAAATTCTCCTGAGGAGATGGAAATGGGACAGGAAAAAGGTGCACTCTTGCGAAATCACAGGAAAATTATGTATTGAGGGAAGAGGAATATGGAAATGGGAAAAGGGGGTGTATGACTGTGAAAAATGACGAGGAAATTGAGTGGATCGAGAGTTATATTGTTGCAGAAATTTGTCTGTTTATCGAAAAAGGGGGTTTGGCGAAATGTTATTTCGCCTTATTCAACCACTCAAAAAATTCTCCCTCTCACCCCTAAAAACTCATGGATTTTCAAATCAAATCATTCATGAAATTTTATATATCTTTTTAGTGATGCTCCCAAGCTTGCTTCTTCAGTTCTGCCTTCACACAGCATGTTCTCAGCGGATGAGTTGTGTACGTAAGAGATAGGGAAATATTCATAGACTATTTTCAATCACATGGAATCCGATGAGGGTTTGTATCAATCAAAGTTTAAGAAGAGCACATCTCTAAAGAAATCTCAATAGGATTTATATTTGATTTTATCTTTGTTAAATTTCCCACTCTCTCTCTACTTCTCTCTCCTTTTCTCATTCCAAATGTTTGTCCACATTTTCATCTTCCGTGAAGAAGCGCCAGCATGGGAAATAATAAGGGTACAAGAGGATTATTTTCCTCCTCATCGATTTCTCTCCTCCACTGAGAGACTTTGTCTTCTCTTTTCTCCATGACGAAATATTGTGAAGTTTTAAGTTGATCGAGAATAAACAGAAAATCCCCCTTTCTTACTTCCCACAGTAAACAAAATATAAATGTTCGAATTGTACTGTATTTTGCAAACTCTAAATCCAGTCTCTTCGCTCAACTTGGACTGTGACCTTATTTCACAAAATGTGCAAGACATTTAGAAACAAAATTAACCTTTCTAGTCCGTTTTTTTTTGGTGCTAAATGAAATTGAAAATTAAAATCACTCACAAAACTCTTTTTTGAATTCAATCCATCATGAAGTTCGGTCTCTTTGCAGAGGTTCAGCAGCAATTGAGGCGAGAGATTCCTGATGGGCAATTTTATTGCAAAATTCCAACATCAACCAAACTGGGAGAAATATTTATTCAAAAACACCACAATTGGGAAACACACTTTAAACACCTCAAAACAGTGCTAAATTCCAATAGAATTCTTTTTTTCTCTGCCCAATCAAATAACATTAATAAGTAGATTAATCGAATATGTTTATAATTGTGTGCCAACCTCACCAAAGCCCCCCAAATATCTATGAAATTAAATTAATGCAGAAATACCACAATATTGAAACGTAGTGGGAATATCAGCAGACAACTCTATAAACTATAAATTAGTTCTTAATTGGCTAAACCACATACGAAACACCCTCTAATGCAATTTCAATGTATTTCTCGTGCATAATATTATTGAGATGAGAAGTGGATGCAATATTTTCAATTTCCCCTGCCCCCTGAAAAATACAAAATTCGTAAACATTCACAATTAGTACAAAATGACAATTTTGTACGCGAATCTCTGTGGTTATTTTCAGTAGGTGAATTGCACTGAAAACCACTAATCACACAGATTGCAAAACAACTATTTGCACTGGCTTCAGTTGACGCAATTGTATATGGTAAGTGATTCTAATCAAATGGCTAAATTCACCCCGTGACCAGATGTGAAATATAATTCTTTTCTAGACTGCATAATATTTTTCAAAAACAAGATAAACCTATTTACAAAAGCTTCCACTGAGCTTTGAGAGCATTAGATTGTGTATTCTGTGTACATTTTTCCCATCATCTCCTCAACGAGACACAAATACCATATGTACGAGGTGGTGAAAGGATGCTCTTTAGGGGTGCATCATCATTTTCATAAGAAGCCACCCTCCAACATCTCTCAGCTTCGGATACTTTCTCAATATTCACATTCACCAAAGTTTGCTCTATCAACACACACACACACACACACACACACACACACACACACACACACACACACACACAGAGCTCAGCGAAGTAGAGTTGTGACAATTTTGCACGTGAGAAAAGATTTTCATCTGGATAAATATTACCACTGACTATCTCTTCTCTCATGGTAAAAGTGGCAACTCTGGACGTATTCCAAATATGGGCAAAAAGGCACTATAAGACCAACTTGAGGTATACTGAAGCTGGTGATACGGAAAATAAACATGAAAATATCTCCGTCGTCATGGCTCTTTTTGCCTTCTCCCCTGTGATTCCTGACTACCAAACACACACACGAGACACATCTTTCCCACTGTACATCTCTCCCGGTGTGGTGATTTTGAGGACTGTGCGGAGGAGACTGAGATCCACCTCACACTGTAACATATATGATGGAAAAGATTTCTCATGCAAGACACACTTCTTCGTCATATTATTATAATATTTTTTTCTACTTCTTCTTCTCCAGACATACACGAAGACTGAAGACAGAGGAAAGAGAGTGTGAAAATTCCCTCATGGAATACAAAACCAGATTTTATTCCATCATGGATAGTGTTTTTACTTAGTTTTTCTTCTTCTCTCTCATGGAAAAGATTCAACAAGGGAATTCTTATGCAATTTTGCCAACACACTTTGAATTCTTTTCAACATCTCTTCTCGCATCATTCCCAAACCAAAAGTATTTAGTAACAAAATGCGTCTAAATATGCCTGATTGGCAAGATAGTCTTGCTTTCAATATTTCAAATTCAATTGATTTCTGCATTTTCTCCTCTCACACACCATCAATCAAAATGTTTGAGCATTCTTTACGAATTCATTCTCTCAGTTTCACATATGATTTTCATGGAAAACTACATGACGGGGAGGAAATTGTGCCGCTCAAAATAATTATTATCATTGTGAAAACAGAAAATATTTCATTTTGAAGGAATTCCACATGAAAGCTTCCATGAATAAAAAAATAACAATAAAACCCTTGTTAGTTCCATTTCCTAATTGAAAAATTTCCATGAGACGAAAAAAAAGAGAGGATAAAACACACTGTTTGGATGGGAAAAAGAGTAACTATTCAAAAATATTCCAACAATATTTTCTTTCCTGCGTTTCAACTATATTTCCATCCCCCCCCATCTTCGCCCATACCATAGTTAGTTTTATGCACACACAAGAGTGAAATTGTATTTATTTTGGCATGCTTTTGCATGCATAAGACAATAAATACAGTGGATAAAATTGAAATATAGACAAAATTATATTTCATATTTTTCCATTTCACTCACATCTCAACGGCGAAAGACTCTCTTTTTTTCGTATCTCTCCCATCATAGCGATGTACTTTCTTAAGTCCAAACAAATTAAATTTAAATCTCTCTCTTTCTCTCTCTCTCTCTCTCTCTCTCTCTGTCTCAATTCTTAGCGTGTTGGAGCCAAACAAAAAGCCAAGTCGCACAACCAAGAGTAAGAACAATAATATGTAATAATAATAAAAATAATACAGACACTGTTTCGCTGATGGTGGAGAAAAAAAAGGTAAGAAAAATATCAAGCAAGTATTTTCCGGATTCATTCGTTTGTTTTAAAAGCAATTTAATCATTTTGGTGTTTCCACTTCGCCTTTTTCCGCCCTCCCGGACGTGTATTCTCTGGCTTTCCCACCCTCTTTTCCTGTGTGTGTGTTTGTGTCAGTGTGTGTATTCTTGCGGGTGGGAATGTTTTCATCTCTATCCCGCATGTTCCCTCGCTCTCGGGCAACACATCATGGGAAGAAATCAAGGTGAAGCACAACGCTCTGAGGGATGTTTTGTGACTCTGAGAGTGATTGTAAAGTGTGTTGTTTGCATTTCACGAACATCTTCTTCTCAGTTAGCTTTAAGAGTGTAAATTGTTTTGCAAAAGTGCCCAAAATGCAAACTATTTGGTCACTTTGGCAAATAAATAAGGTAAAATTGTATATCTTCCAATCGCTTTAGTGCCATTTTTTCCTTCTCTTCCTCGCAGTTTACAGAAAATTCACTGTCATCTTGATTGTGAGAGACAAATATATAACATAATGGACTCACCTCAGCCAGTGTCTCTTTGTCAGTGAAGTATGGCAACAAATGGCATCATATTGATCTGCCATCCAAACAACGAGAATAATGTAGAAAGCCGTGGTGGTGTCATTGAAGAACTCTGACATAATCGCCTCCATTCCTGCAAAAGAGAATGAAAGGAGGAGCAAAAATTAATAGAAAATCCCTGAGAAGATCAAATTCTCTCTCTCTCTCTCTTGTTGGAAGAAAATTCAATCAATAAACCAATATTTCTTCTCATCACCTCCACCAATCGTCTTTTCCACTCAATAAATACAATTAGATGCGATAATCCTCAAGAACACTTCCGTTTATCCCTCTGCACATCACTTCGATGCTCAAAATGCAGTCAGATTCTCAATCAAACTTTGTCAAGAAGAACGAAATTGAGTATAAGCTTGATATAATTGTTGAATGAACCTCTTCAAAATTCCAAAATTTAAAGCTAAATTTTCCCAGAAAATTACCCAGGGAAGGATTTAACAAGCAGAAAGTGGTATCAAACATACACATTCACGAAATTTGCACCCCTTGTAATCGATTTTATGCCCACAATTCCCACTCCTTTCGTCATTGAACGACACTTTAGCACCCCTGAAGAGTGGCATTGAAGAGAGCATATAGTGCTGAAAGTGGCATAAATTCATTCAATTATGTCCAATGAAATTTTGTGGTTATAATTACCAACGGAAAAAATTCATTAAGAGCACTCCACCAGAATGGGAGACTCTGTGTCTTCTTCCGCTATCTGGGCAAATATTGGGTTAGAGTGCTTCACATCAGGGCCAGGATGTAAAGTGAATGAGAATTCTTAACTCCATTATATCGTCCTCATGTGTATTTAATTTCACATGAGAGGGAAAAATCCTCTGTCTTCCGGCCCTCCCCATCCCGAGGACCATTCCCTAATGCAATTGTACATTCTGCAATCACTCCAAGCGTTAATTGCATTCTCAGAGGATTTCTCCCTTCACCCCCCTCATGATTGATATACTTTGAAGACGCCACGAAGAATTTCTCCTTCCGAAAAAATGCAATATTAAAGCTTTTTTTTAATATTATTTATTCTCAACTGCGCAATGAAAACCCATGAAATGTTGGAAAATTATGTGGTTTTACGTACTTCATCAGACTTTATCGTACCACATTATTAAATTTATTGACAAAATTAACCATATTACATTTCATGCATCATATATTTCATCACTCATTATTAAAAACGCATATTTTCTCGTCGTTTGACAAAAAAACAGGTTTTTCATCAAATTATAACAATTTCCCGTGCGACTGATGGAATATATTTTTTGAAAAGGGGTTGTTTTTGCAACTAATTAAAAACTTCTGCTAATTGAACATTACACGCAAAATAATTTTTGTTAAAAATCATCCAAATAGAGTGCATTATAACAGTGATTTTATTGTTCAACTACAGGTTCTGCTTGATATCAAATAAATATATAATGATTTAGCGCCTCGCAACCGTGTTTCAATTAAAAATATATTGCATATACAATTTGTTAACTTGCGTTCTCGGAATCCAAAACACAAAAACAATCAACACAGATTTTATCATGTATTTACGTTGTCAGGCAGAAAAAAATCTGTGGAAAATAATGGTGCAAGGAAATAGGAGATAATGTGAGAATATTTCACAAATTAATGTGATTTGAACATGACGCTCCCGGTGCTCTTTTCACTTCCTCATTCTCTCTTGTTTTCCTCCATACAATTTCACCATTTCCACCATCCTCACTCTCTCTCCGCCTGATATTCATTACATAAATCATCACACAAACTAAGGAAAAGCACAAATTGATGATGTTATAACCTTATTTTTCTCACCCGTTTCTCCCTCGGTATTTTTCGGAGCGTAAAAGGAAAAAGGCACAAGGCACAAGAGACAGGAGTCGGAAGTAAAAGACCGTGTAAAATTACTTGTAATTGGATAGTCCCTTTTATCACACACACACACTATACTTTTCCACTACAATGCCCATGGCTAAGCAGTCAGTTCGATCTATATAAATCCCCAAAATAGATGTAAAACATATCCTTAATCATATCCTCCCGAAAAAAAGAAATTTATGTGTCTCTCATACACTCCTAATCAATAATAATAGTAATAATAATATGTTTTGAATGAATCGAAAATTTATCAGCAACCAGTGACTCACAGTCATTATTTGTGCGCTCTCTTCCTTCGCACACACGTAATCCTGTTCCTGTCTCTCAACCACCTTCACTGCCAAACCGTATCGCCCCCATATCGGAAGTATCATCTATAAATATCAAATATCCGGTGTGTCAATGAGCCCGTTAGAGACAAATAACTCTGCAGGGACACACAGACACATTCGCAGTGTTATCGAATTTTGCCACCCACTCTCTCGACTCACCCCCGCAGGAAAAGTCGTGAATGGAGCATGTTTGGATCTCGTCATTTTGGACAAGGATTTCGCACAGCCAAAGACACACTTCAAATGAATTTCTTCCTCAACACACTCACACTTTGGCGCAGAGTTGAAGATTCAATGGTTTCTATAGTTTAAAAGACATCCAGATTTAACAAAGCACTTTCAATCCCCCAAAACTTAACACCATATTCATCTATAAATCTTCACTCACAACTCTGCATTTGATGTTTTCAGCATCACACACTTTTTATCAGCTCCTCTATATATCATCTTTCTTTTTTTTGTCAAATATGTATGTATGGCAACCTTCGAAAAATACTTGTGTGTGTATAGCTATAAGCCAAATTCACCATGTAAGCGCTCAGAGGGTCAGTAAAAATACAGCAAGAAAGCTAAAAGCTCTCCCACATTCTCTCTCACATCACACACTCTCCTTCTCACTCACTCATCTGTGACGACGCGACAACGATGACGACGTGCAGTGCATAAAAAAAAGTCCATTAATAAGATACTATCTCTCTTCCGGGACTCTGGAGGTAATCTCTCCAAAAACCACCCCATCTCCCTTCAGAGAAATTTTCGCCTCTTTTTGTCACTTCAACTCTCTCTCTTGCCACCTTTTACGGTTAATGAAGAGACTATCATCTCCCTTTCCTTGCACATCATCATCCTCACTTCGTCCTTTGCAAATGCAACAGATTATAATGAAATTGTAAGGAAAAATGTCGAGATTCGGTGTGTCATTCCTTCTGATATTCATTGTCCATTTTGTTGGGCAGAAGAAAAAATTCATATTAAATTGACAACGACAGACTGACTATGACAAATCACACTCGTTTATCGGGCATAAAAGTATCATATTCAATTTTGAATGATTCTCATGTGAATATGAGCATCATATTTGCCACATGAATCCATATATGCTGAAAAGTCGTGGAAAGTATGGGTTGTAATTTGCAACAAGCGTATCATGTTAAAAGTGATTTGTGTGACAAGAGAGACCGTGGAAAAATATGAATTTATAACCAATTTGACTATTTTTTTTCTCTCCCCTCAATTCACACTCTCCGCATGGTTACAAAAATACATATATTTGCCAATACAACTCACACACCCGCGTGCCAACCATTTATTGGCAACTTGAGGTTTATACAGAGAGAGTGTGGCAAAAAGCTCTCAAATTGCATTCAATTCATAACACTCTGACAAGCCATCATCATCATGACAGAGCAGCGATGCAAAGTGTGAAATGAAAGTTGAGCTTAAATGATACCTTTCTCCACAACCAGGCGCCTCCATCTCAACATGACACTTATACATCATTAAATTTTCTGGCACGAGAATGAAGAGCAATAATACTGGCTTTTCTCACTCTCTCTCAGATTTCTCAAATTCTTCAGCTTCAGCCATGAATTGGAAGAAATTTCCACCCAGTAATGTGAGAAAATATCGTAAACTTCTCATTTCATCTTCACACACTCACACAACACAACACAACGCAATACAAAATGTTCACATTTTTCTACGAAAAATTCATATTCCACCTCATTGTTAGTAGAGATGGAGAAAAAAGTGGTAAAAAGAATAAGTGGAAAAGGGCTCCAATCACGTTGAGGAAAAATAGTGAATTTACTATGTATAGTGGAGAAAGCAAAGCGCACGCTTTGATGTCAAAAGGAAAGCTTTGACGCTACAAATGTACTTTTTGTCACAATTTATATATTGTTTGACGGGAGAGAGAGAGAGAGAGAGAGGGAGAGAGAGTGAGAATTTGTGTCGTGTCACACAAAAGTGTGCATTGAAAAAGAGATGTGAGAGAGTGTCAAAAGAATCAGAGTTATACACAAAAATCGACCCTTTGACTGTCACGAATTGACAACTATTATATTGGCACTGAAAAGGGTTACACATACTTGAAAGCTATCCACGATCTCCGCCTCATCCTCAACAGCATCCTCACAACAATCAATAAAAAACCTTCTCACACACAAACTCACAGACTTTTCCTCCCAAGGAAGAAGACGAACATCGGGGCTGAGAAATATGCCATTGAATACAGTAGGGAAATTTTAGAGAAGTGTAAATCCATTTTATTATTATTTCCTCCTCACACCTTTCAACCCTTTTCTTCTTCTTCTCTTTCCTTTTTCTTCCACCCTCTCACATATTCTCCGATTTTTTGTGCCCACTTTTCTCGACCCTCGTCGAAATTCACACAGTTTTTCCTCCCACTTGTTGAGCCTTGTGAGGAACACACGAGAAATCTTTGAGTGTTTCAAATCAAAATAAACTCTTCCTCAATGACTCTCAAGAGGAGGTCATAATGGAGACATTTCGAGTGATCGGAATTGGGAAGAAAATCGGTATTCCTCAAAGAACACCAACAAGTGGTTATAGTATTAATAAAGAAAATAAAAATACAGGAATATTCTTCAAGCACTTATGAAATTGAAATAAAATACACAAACTGTGAATACAAACATATTTAAGATCCATGAAAGCTCCTCCAAAAGGGTTCGATAGATTTAACCCAAAGGAAAATGGTAGAAAACTTAACTCTCTTTTGAGAAAAAATACATCTTTTGCCATGGACTAAAAAGAACCGCCTCTGAAAAGGATAACCGCTAAAAAACATCGAACAAGAACTTAAAAGACACGTCTTTCTATCGCCATTGAAGACATTTTCCCATTTAAATAACTAATTTCC